GGGAAGGGAAGGTGCGGGAAGGGAAGGTGCGGGAAGGGAAGGTGCGGGAAGGGAAGGGAAGGGAAGGGAAATTTTGCAACAGATAGTCTCAGGCTCCTGTAGAAATATAGCCTTGTAGATTTCCCACGTTTAAATGTTTTTTCCCAAATTTTTCTATTTTGAAGAATGTCTGAATTTAGCAGCATTTGGGTTCCTTTGCAGAAGAGAGATGTGGTCATACTGGAATAAATCCAGACTATGAAGACAGTTAAGATATGGGAGTATCTCTCGTAGAAGGGGAGGCTAACAGGGCTGGGACTTGATCAGCCTCAAGTTGAGAAGACTTGAGAGGATCATCTGATCAATGCATATGAATACCTGCAAAAACACACAACCAGGTGTATCACTGTATCAGCTGATACTGAGTGATGGAACAAAAGGCAGTGGGCCTGAAATAGAATTTCTATCTAAGCATAAGTTAAAATCTTTTTCCTACAAACATGATTGAGCACTGGAACAGGTTACGCACAGCAGCTATGGAGCCTCCATTCTTGTAGATATTTAAAACTGGGCTGGGCACAACCTGCTCTAGTTAACCTTCCTCTGACCAGGGTGTTGCAGTAAGAGGTCTCCAGAAGTACTTTCTGGCATTGACCATCCTGTTACTCTGGTTCTGTGACCTTGCTCCAAGGCCAGGAGGAACTCCCAGGCCCAAAGTGCCTTTTTCAGAGCATGAGGTGGACAGGGAGAGAGTGCTGCCACAGAAGCCTTAAAATGCTGCCTTGTAGCTGACTGGGAAAAGTGAAAAAACACTTCTCTGAAATGGGTCTGAAGCAGCTGGCTATAGTTGAAAATGCCATTGATGTCCTAGGTTACTTCCTGTATAAGTTACTTGGCTGCACAGATGCGTGACTTTTGGTCAGAAACGTCATCAGCCATGTGAGGTAGTGAGCTCCCTTTGGCTTCCTCAGGGCACTCTGCCTTTTGTCACATGCTAGCTGTGCTTCTGCCTAAGGGACAGGTCTGTCTCGTCTGTTAGCTCAAAGGACTTTCGCCAGTAAGCAGTAGAGGTGGAATTCTGAGTAGAGAGATGAGGTCTTGCTGCAGTAGGCTAAGGAGAGTAAGGTGTGGTGACTGGGTCACACTTGAAAATCTGTGACTCTGCTATTGTTTTGCCTGTTGTCTATATTAGGCAAAAGGATTAGAGGGCTGAAGGAAGTTCCCTTCAATACAGAGACCTTTTCAGTGATGAGGAGCTTTGCCCAGAGATGTGCTGTATAAAAGTGCAAGTTCAACTTTAGCGCAGCATCAAGAGTGCTCAGGCTCCAAGTGGCAGCAATATGTCCTGCATGGTTTGTGTTGCATGTCTGATCTGGCTTTCTCTCTGTGTGCTGTGATATTCCTCACTCTAGCTGTGGTGTTTCTGCAGCACTCAGTGATGGCTGAGAGCTCAGCTGTGACTGCAGCAGTGCCAGGGAGAGCAGCACCAACCAAGCTAGAGGAGCTCCTGGAGATCACTGCTCAGAGCCTGGTGCACACTGAGGTGTCAGAGCACTACAAGGTTATTCGGGAGCTGGGCAGGGGCAAGTACGGCCATGTGATGCTAGTGACCCACAGGCAGAGAGGTAAGAAACTGACATTGCCCTGTGAACTACTGTGCCTTGTCTCCTCTCCACTCACCAGGGCACAGGGTGGGCTGCTGGCACATTGGGGCCAGGCACCAGGCATGGGAGGCAGGGAGGATTCCCAGGGAGACCAGCACAATGGGAACCTCCAAAGCCAGGAACCATCCCATTACATCCAGCCAGAAACTAGGTGATCCCAGGGGGCAGCCCAGAATACCAGCAAGATTATAGTGATAAGACAGGTCCAAGGTCAATCAAGGAAGTTAATCCACAAGTCAGGATCCAGATAGTTCATGGATACACACCAGCATGCATGTGATATAGATGGAAACAGGAGTCCTACCACAGGGCTCAGTCAAGTAGCCCCAAGCCTGAGCTGCAGTGGTGCCCTAAGGCCCATGGACAGAGGGTGTGAATGAAGGTCCTGGGTTGGCCATAGGAGTGCCCTGACACTGTTCTTTCCTGGTAGTCCTAGCTCAGACTGATGTACCCATGTATCCTGAATGTCCTTACTCTGCCCAGGGCTCCTGTGCATGCCCAGGGCCCAAAAATCACACCAATGCCAGTGCTAGTGTTTCCAGACCTGGTGTCTACAGGTGTCCTGTTTGCATTCACACAAACTTTGAAATAGACACCTCTCTGTGGCTGTGACTGCCTAGATCTGTGGCTGATCTCTCGTATCTTGGTGAGATTTTCAGAGGAGTCAAGCCCACTCTTCCTATCCCCAGGGACTCCTATGGCTCTCAAGCTGCTCCCCAAAGCCAGTACCAAGTTGCACACCTTTCTGTATGAGTATTGTGTAGCACTGTCCCTCGCCACCCACCCTGCCATCATTGGCATGTTTGGAATTGCCATTGAGTCCAGCCAGTACTATGGTTTCCTCTATGAACCAGCGCTCCACAAAGACCTCATCTCTATCATCAAACCCCACGTGAGTGTTGCTACAAGGCCATGGGGACTGGGCTATAGCATTTGGCCCCTCTGAAGGATGTCTGGGTCAGAGGGTGGGAGATAAAGGCAATGGGCTGTGGGTCTATCTGGAGTCTGCAGCACTAAAGCAGCCTTGGGCTTGCAAGGTAAGAAATGCAAAGGTCTTTACCAATGCTGAGCATTCTGGTGAGACCCTATAGCTAGCAGGGCTGCTGAGGTGCCCTGTGTGTGCCATCCCACCTGTCTCTCTCCCTGCACAGGATGGGATTCCTGAGCTGGCCACAAAGCAGTGTGCCAAGCAGCTCGTGAGTGCGCTGGAGTTCATCCACAGCCGGGGGCTGGTGTACCGTGATATCAAGCCTGAGAATGTGCTGCTTTTCGATCCCGACTGCCGGCTCATCAAACTCACTGACTTTGGGCTCACACGGCCCAAGGGTACCAAGCTCAAGCTGGTGGCTGGGGTAATCCCCTACACTGCACCTGAGCTGAGCAACACTGCTGATGCTCAGGGAGTGCCCATTGACAGCAGCATGGATGCCTGGGCCTTCGGGGTGCTGCTTTTCTGCCTGCTGACTGGCTATTTCCCCTGGGAGCAGAGCCTGCCAGAGGACCCTTTCTTTGAGGATTTCATGCAGTGGCAGGAGACAGGCCTGGAAAAGGATGTGCCCCGGCACTGGAAGCGCCTGACAGCCGAGGCTGCTGGGATGCTGCGGGGCCTGCTGGCTCTAGATCCCACCAAACGTAGCCCCGTCAGTGGGGTGCTGTGCTATGTTGACTGCCCATGGAGGCTGGAGGGTGGGCACAGTGAGGAGGCTGCCGTGAAGTCCTAGATCCTGCTCCCCATGGCAGGAGGGAAGGAGGGTCTCAGCCTGCAAAGGGCTTCAGGGTTTGGGCACCATGGTGGCCTGGGAATGAGAGGCCTTGGTGACTCAGAGAGCAACTTCTCTGCAGCACTGTCCCTGCTGCCACAGTCAAGCTTCTTCCCCAGATGATTGTCCTCACCCCATGACTCAGTGCTGCTCAGTGCCACCTCCTTGTGGCCTGAAAACATCTTTCTCATGGAAATGACTGTGTGTGAAGCATCCATTTGTTTCATAGCCACGGGAACTCCAGGGAGTTATTTAGGCTGCAGCACCTGCCATGTCTCAAAATATGTACTTTTGTGTTTCTGTATGTGGCTCGTTTTCCCTCATAATAAATGATTGTTGGGACACACTTACTGTTGGAAAGCAGGGAGCAGGTTAGAACTTGGAGCTATCTCAGGACAAGCTGTCCAAGGCAGGGGCTGTCTCTGAATGCTGCCTGTGCCCGCACCAGGACCCCTGGAGGGTGGCTTCAGGCTGGTGGGGTGGAGGGGCTGGGGAGACCCCAGCACGTGGCCATGGATGATGGCTGGGGAATGGTTATGGTATTGAGGTTATCTCGTGCCTGCCCAAACACACCTCTTCCCTTGTACTGCCTTCAGGTCCTAAGACAATGTCCTTCATGATCTTTTAGATGCCTCATTACTGCTCTAGAAGACCTTCCTTCTCCCCTCTCCTATCACTTCTTTAACCCTTCCCTAGACAGAGACCTCTCCTAATGCCCCAGTATCCTCCTAGGTGCACATTTTAATCCTGAAAAGGAGTAGCAAAGAGGGAATTAAGGGTTAGTAGCCCTTTTTACTTTTCTACATCTTTTCAATACCCAGGATTTTGCTGTTGGTAATAATCCCTTCCTGCACTTAACCCAGTCTTTTGCTGGAAACATACACAGCTCATTTTCCACTCTTTATAACTTCTAAAAATGCAGTGTCCCAGTACTATACTTTCTAGTATTTCAGCTTTTTTTTCATCTCCAGTCCTTTCCTGCACATGTTCTTTCCTCTATGCTTCCCCAACCTCCAGGTCTTTTTTTTTCCAGCTTCTTCTCACCCACTGGCATTTTAGTATTAACTTCTCTACTAGCACTATCCATCAAGTGGTGAACACCTTTTGCTTGCTTCTCTCTCAGTAACATCACCTCTGTATTACTATTTTGTGCTGTTCCTGATCCCTGCATCACTTATGCCTTGAGTCTTCCTTCCAACTCCCCAACCTACCTTACCAAACAGCGTTATGCTCACACTGTCCAAGATACAATTTTCTTCTGCTTACTTCCATCTCAGAATCTTTCATTACTTGAAATCATAATAAATTCTGCTCAACTCCAGCTTGCTGAAATTTGGCTTTGAATGTTAAGGTGCCAACACAGCTCCTGTATTTCAAGTGGAGAAGCTTTAAGACCAGTGGATCTAAAGACCAGGTAGCTGGTAACTATCCAGTGAAAAATAAATGAAAATTTTTTACAGATGCTTGCTAATGGACAATTACAGAACAGGAATGTGGCTTTTTGGAATGAAACATTCAATTTTATAATAAAGTCATGTTTGATACAGTAAATTCATACACTCATACAGAGTTTTTGTAAGGCATGACCTATTGATAAATAGAGAATTATCATATGTTGTATTGATTCAGAAGATGCACTATGCAAAGTTTATAAAGTATAGATTAAGTGGATTGAGAACTGTCAATAGGCAGAAGAAATAATTGTCTGATTGGAATGCTCTATTTTGTTGTATTTTGGTTTCTGCAGGGATCAGTTGTTACATGAAAACTGGTTAACATTTCCAACTGTGATTTTAAGGAAAATACAAAGCAGATAAAACTCTACAGATGACATAAGCATGAATAGGGTGGTAGCAAGAAGAGCAAGCTACTCAAAGAGATCTGAATAACTTGCTAAGTATATTCAAACCAAATGCATTTTCTTACAGGCAGGAGAAATATAATTAAGTAGGAACATACTAAATAAAAGGAACAGGAATAAAAGTCATTCTTCCAAAAGGACCCTAAAAACTTGCCAAGTCACAGAGGATACACAAGATTACATGAGTTCTTACTGTGTTGTCCTACTAAAAAAAAAAAAAAATGGGCTCCTTGCATGGCCAAAGAGGGGCAGAAAGTAGGGATGGTGAAATCTTCAGCAAAAACAGCTAACAAGATTCCTGTTGGCCTAAATATGAGTGTGGGAAGTAGCAGTGAGTGATCAGTATTTGATACCTCATGGGGAAATCCTGGGTATGGCACCACAATTACATGCAAGCTGGAAAACTGGAGACAGCTCAGAAAAAAACTGGGTCCCATGGTGGGACTGTGGTTTAAAGATGTAAGAAAACCTTAAAGAAACTAACAAATTAAACTATCTAAAATAGGAAGACTGCATGGTGAATTGATTATGGTATAGAATATTGAGAAGAAAATACCACCTACTAATGACCTATTTTAATTTGAGAATGATCCAAGAGAAGCCATGAGAGGTTGAAGCCAAACAGTCCACTAGTATGGTTCTTGCCTACTGTAAGAAACCCTCATATGTGCAGAGGCTGAGAGAATGGGGAATGTCTGGAGAGGAGAAGAGTTAGGGTGGATCTTGTACTTCTTTATACTTCTAGGCACAAGTATAAATTGTGAGAGGGAAGGCATTTAAACAAAAAAAAAAAAAAAAAAAGCTTTATGGTGATAGTGGCCAAACTTAGTAACATTGGTTGTGTGTTTATGGCTTTGAAGACATTCAAAAGATGATTGGACAAGGCTCTGGTAAACTTTCGCTGTCTCTCTTTTGAGAAGGAGATTGGTGTAGGCAGTCTTCATATGTCCTGTCTGGTATCAACCATGCTGCGATTCCACATTTTTTATTTTAAAGACACTCTGTGTTGTAGCTAAGGATGTTTAGGGCTCCCAAATGTATCTCCTTTGGAATTGCTCAGCATGGTCTTAGCAAAACTGTACACCAAATACAAAACCAGTTTGACAATCAAAGGTTAGCAAGATTTTAGGATTTACTCCAAATTAAAGTAAACCTGAACTGATGGAACACTGACATCTTTGGGGAAACAAATCAAGCTGCCCCATGCCATCAGGACCCAGGCTGGTTTTTCACAGGAGTCAAATATGCCAACGAGGATCAGGGATTCAGTGCTGCCTGACAAAGGTAATGTGACAGGATAATGTGGAAATGACCAGGATTGTTTCTCCGTCTCCTTTGTCAAAGAGCCTTGAGACTTCAGTAGAAGAGGTTTCTGCTGCCAGAAAGTTGTGTGATGCCCAGCAAAGTGATGAAATCAGCACTGTGACTGCATCATGCATGTGCTGGTGATGGGGACAAGGCTGCAATGAAGCAAGTGTGAATTTGAGCACAGTGGCAAAAAGCCCTGTCCTGAACCAAGTCCCCAACTCAGGACTCGTTTCTTAGTAGCTTGTTCATGATTGCAGCTGGATTTCTTAAATCAATGAATAAACAGACCTAACAAAGACTATCCCCAGCGGGTCTGGAAAAGGATCTGGTTGCCCCCAGTGCCTCCTGAGCAGCTAAATGGAACAGAGCTGTGCAAACACACCAGCCCTTTGCAGCTGCAGCCTCTGGCTGCAGGAGGGCTGGCCAGGTGCCCTGCACTGTAAAAGGCAACATTTCAGCTAATGTAGGCAAAGGGGATGGGGTGGATCTGGTGTCATCCCCAAAAGGGCATCAGGTGGATCTGAAGAGGAGGGAAAAATGCAGTGCTTCACTCCTCTCTGGGATGGAATGAAGAGAGAAATCAGGCAATTACTGAGCTCACCACACTGTGAGTTCTGGCTACAGGTCCAAGAAGTTTGAATCCAACCCCTGGTGCCCAGATGCCTGCAGCACACTGCGTGCACAGGCTGGGAGCATGGATCCCATGGCTTTTGGTGGGATGTATGCTCTGTATTCTGTTTCCACTTCTGCACTATACAGTCCATGTGACTCCTCAATAGCTACAGTCAGCAGCAGCCTGGGGAATATGATACAGATGAGAGACTGCAGGGCGCAGGGAAAGTATGGGCCACCAATGCAGGCAGATGGGTTGAGCCCTGGATCTGTTAACTGAACTGATAGTTTGATTGTAACTCTTCTCCCAGTTAGGAAGTGTTGTTAGGAAGAAGTGAGAGTGTAGAAGTCATCTTGCTAGACAGAGATGTGAAAATTCAGGCTGATTTGAAAGTGATGACCTAAGTCCTGATAATGGTTAAGCCATGTCCCAGACGAATCATCTCAGAATTAAAATACTGAATGCTAAAGAGAGCCTGTAGGCAAATTATTTGGGCAACTGTCCCCAAAATAGAGACTGTGTTGCTATGCTGGCTGAACTCAGAACAAATAGCAGGGTAGGAACAAATGGCATAGTGGAGTTAATGTCATCTTCTCCTTCTAGAGGAAGAATAATGAAAGTCACTCTGTTGTGGAAGCTGGAACAATGACTAAAAGCAGGGTAGATATCCAGCCTTCAGGGATTTAGCAGTTAGGCTTCTGGAGTAATGTCCAGAAGCTTGCATATAACTTTCCTTCTGCTTTGTCAACTCCAAAACTGTTACTTCCATTCTTTTCTACTTAAACCCCTTAAATGTCATTACTGTGACTGAATCAGTTTCTTAAGAAGGGTGGTATTCCCCAGCATTCCTTGAACAAGACCACATGCTAACCGCTCTTGTGACTCTTCCCACTCTGCAGGTAAATGTCAGGGCTTGAGATTTCAGAAGGACTGAGCACAAGTTACAAAAAATGAGTGGGAGAAAACATCTCAGGCCAGGGAAAATGACAGGGCAGATGTAGGACTGCATGATGTGTGAGCCTAATTCCTCCCACACTGCTAGTTCTCGAGTTTTGACTTTCACTTCAAAGACAAAGCAGACCAAAGCTTTGTTAAAAAACATAAAATATGGCCTTGTTATAAGCAACTCTCCTGAGCACAAGGATAGGAAGAGAAAGTAGCTAGGAAATAAAAATGGTGGATTTTGTTACCTTTCATTCTTACTTATGTAGGGGCACGTTGGTGACAACTGCAACCCAACTGATGTCTTCTAGAGCTGCCTGTAGCTGAGAAGCCATGAGAAATCATAAAATGCCATTGTCATGCCAAAGAGCTGCACAATTGAAAGTGACTTGGGGCACAAGATACTTGGTCCCTGACATGGAGTTTCAGCTTCTAGCCTTTTTTTACCTCTATCCTGCATCCCTGGGTGGAGATGCAGAAACCAGAGGGAAATACCTTAGACAGGAAGATCAAAGGAACTACCTCCATGTTTTTCATATCCCATAGCTTGCACTGTACCTCGCTACCCATACTGTAATTTTAATTCCCCTTGTGATGGGCTGTGCTATCACACAGTGTTACT